GGGGGGGCGGGGGGGGGCGGAACGGGGGGACAAATAAAAAGAAAAAATCAGACAGGCATCATTCCAATCGTTGATTTTGAGGCTTTGGAGTTGGCGATTTTTCGAGGTGGAGCCGAAGCCCTACTGGGAGCACGATCACCGGCAGACTTCGCTCTGGACCGGGCTCCCTTCGCTTTCCAGGTGCCTGTGGAGCCACCGTTCTTTCGTCGAGGTCGCTTCGTGTATGGACGCTTGCTGCCCTTCGAGCTTGACGCTGCAGGGCCAGCCTCGTAATCGTCCCCTGGATCAGGGCCAGGTGAGGGTGCAGGCGGGAAATAGCGACTAGTGATGTTGTCTGGAGGGTTTTCCGTTGGGTAGTCCAAGTCAAGAGTCGAGTTCTGGTCCACAAAAAGGTCATCATCACTGTACTCATCGCTGCTACTGAGGTTGATAACATTATGATGGTTCGGATCCGGAACAATGCCATTACTCTCTGCCTCGGATTTCAGTTCGTGATAGCGGCGGCGGGCATTATCCACCAGCCTCAAGATCTGGCGACCATATCGTTTCACCTTATCAGAGTCGATGCCAGGAATAGCGGAAAGCTCTGAGATGTCTATTAGGAAATTAGTATTCAGCCACTATCAGCATGAACGCATGGTCAAACTTACTCTTGGGGAACGAAATGGCCATATCTCGCAAAATATGATCAGGGAACGGCTGGGATCGAAGACCCTTCTCCACAACGATCTATGCGAAAAGGTAGTGAGCACGGTGAAGCTATTAGTAGCACATATGAAGGGGGGCCCTTACCTCTTGCAAGTATCTCTTGGCTGTCACTTCGAAGTCTTCCACAACGGCACGATGAAGGTGATCCAGTCGTTCCAGCTTTTGATCGATTGTGATGGGCGGTCCCACTTCATGGCCAACATCATTCCGTGGCCTGCCTGCCACTCGGAGAGGCTCAAAGCCATCACTCTCATCATCGGTTGATGAATCGTCAACGCGCTTGCTCCGTTGTTGAGACCGTGCCTGACGACGATCATGAGCGGATTGGATAGGCGACGAAACCATAGTGGATTGAGGATAAGTCTGAGTGCCAGACTTTGCCCTTTGCGCTGGTCGCGCCGCCGCCTTGCCTTTGCCATTAGGAGAGACGCGTACTTGCAATTTCAACTGGCGCTCGCCGGTTTCGAATTCCTTCGCACGCCGGCCAAGTTTGAGGTATTGAACTGCGAAGTCCTTCCCATTGATAACGTTATCTTCTGCCAGGGCATCCTCTCCCAGAAGACGGTAGAACAGTCGCTCTGCTTCCCCTCGATCCAAATCACACCCCTTTCCGTACCAAGGGAGACTCTTGTGCGAGGGAGACTTGGCTCGTTTCAAATCCCCGCGCAAGATATCCACGCAGTAGAGTACGGTCACTTTCTCCCCTCGTTTGCCCTTTTCATTGGTTTGGTTCTCGAACCAGCGAACAATGTTGATGATCCAAGCAGCATGCTGAGAGAAGTCGTGGACCTCAAACACTAGATCTGATTTGCAATTATCACATGAATTGCCACAGTCCTCACGGCGGAAGTATTCGTTGAAATATGCAAGAACTTGCACGCGTCTGCAATCACTGCGATTCTCACAGAACTGGACGACGTTGCGAAGCATATGCTTTTGCCGGGCTTTTTGCTCGTAGCTGCCTTCGCCGTCATCAATCATGCGCTTGAGCGTGGCAGCATCCTTATACCCATAGTAGAGGTAGCAGCCAGAACGTTTGCCGTCACGACCAGCACGACCAGTTTCCTGATAATATCCCTCCAAACTCTTCGGAATGCTGTGGTGCATGACAAATCGTACATCAGGCTTATCAATGCCCATTCCAAAGGCAATGGTGGCAACGATGATATGGCATTTACCCGCCTGCCACTGGTTCTGCACTTTGGCCTTATCCTCAGATTTCATGCCAGCGTGGTAATGCGAGGCCCTGAGTTTGTACTTCTTCCAAAGATCTTCCGCAACCTTCTCACATGTCTTGCGTGACAGACAATAAACGATGCCACACTGGTTTTTGTAAGAGGTTGTGATTGTTTCTGCAATGCTGGCGAGCACTTCATCGTTCTTCCCTTTAGGTCGCACCTCGTAGGTTAGATTTGGCCGGTTGAAAGACTGCAGGAATACCTCGCATCCGGTCATCTTGAGATTATGGATCACGTCAACCTTAACATTCTCCGTTGCTGTAGCAGTAAGAGCCATGACAGGTACGCCTGGTAACTTGGCTCGAATTTCACCCAGTTCCTTGTAATCTGGTCGGAAGTCATGCCCCCACTGACTGACGCAGTGTGCCTCGTCAATAACCAATCGTGCTAGCTTGTTCCGGTGGTGAAGTTTCTCGAGAGCTCTGACCAAAACCTGGTTCTTGTTGATCATCTCAGGTGTGATGTACAATAGCTCCAGATCTTCGACATCTCCGTTGGATAACTGGCCAAGAATCCAGGATCGCTCAGTCTTGTCCGACTCACCATTCATCAGGAAGGCTTTGATGTTCAGCTTTCGGAGATGATCCACTTGGTCTTGCATCAAACTCAGTAGCGGAGAGACAACAAGGGTCACACCTTGTGTACGGCCGCCCGTAACGATAGACGGGAGCTGATAACACAAAGACTTGCCACCACCGGTTGGCATGAGGACGAAAACGTCCTTGCCGCCAAGAGTTGCATCGATGGCTTCGAGTTGATTAGGACGGAAGCCACGGAGATGAAACCTATCTTTCAGCACCGTCTTCACCTCCTGAGACCATGGATGGTTAGACCAGAAATTGGTGCGGCCAGGTGATTTTTTCGGAGGAGGCATAGGCATGCGGGAAGTATTTCCAGACATCTCCGCAAATACTTTGCGGCTCTGAATTGACTCCCGAACAGGCACCTGAGATTGGTTGTCAAAACTTCCAGCCACTTCTAGCATCTCGTCGTCGCTGTCGCTCCAATCGAACTCATCGAAGTCTACCGTTGGCGAAGCCATGGTTCGCGAGACATAGGTTTCCCCATTGCGAGACCGATTATTCTGTTCAGGTACCCATGAACTTTCCTTGGCTCTCTTGGGGCTTGCAGCAGATGATTGGGGCCGTTGATATACGGGAGGTGGCTCTCTGGAGATGGACTTTTCAGGCTGCCCCATGGGTAGCGACATCTGACTCGGCACATTTTGAATATCTTCGCCGAGCTCTGCGGCAATCTCCAGTATCTTGGCTCTAGGAAGAAGTTCGCGTATCTTCATCTCGATCTTCTCCAGCTCTGACTCGACTGCTCGGCTTTGTGAGAGTTCCGGTAGTGTTGATGGATCTAGTCCTTGGGAGATGACACGCATGACATCCCGCTTGAGAGTTTCCTTGCGAGACATACAGTCAGTGTGTGAATACTTCTGTCTTTGCAACGCCTCAATGGCTTGAATCTGCGAGACAAGGTTTTTGTTGGCAGCAATTAATTCGGGCGCTGGTCGACCCGCCATTGCCTGTTCGTACACAATCTCGGCATTCTTCTGAAGAGTCTGCTGTAATCGCTGAATGGCTTTGTCTAGGACCTCTAACGGAAGAGCCGTGAACTTCAGGAGGTTTTCATCCTTGGGTTGTGAACTCGATACGGTTGGCCCTGAAGAGGGTGGCTGG